TTTTCTTATTCCAGGTAGTTGTATGTAGTAACCACATGAACATTCAAGATGAGGTAAACCAAGTAGTCATCCATGCACTGATTCACGCATATGATGACTGTCGTGCTAATATAGATTGGAAAGATTGTGCTCATCTTGCTTGCAGTAAGGTTTGTCATCTACACGTTTCTCCATTTTTCTGTGTTTGTGGTGGGGGGTGGGGGTGGGTTGAAATTTGAATTTATACCAACTTTCCTCTTAACTCATCTTCTATAGATTAGAGCTAACCATCTCAGTGGTGATTGTCATTACAAAAGGGAGTTCCTTCGAGGCAATTTAAAGATAAGAGGTCATGAACAAGTGAGTTATACTACTATACCCCTCAATCTCAGATTGTTTGTCCTGGTTTACCATTTTAGTCTTTTCTGAAGGGTTTACCTCATACCGATTTGGCATATATAACCAATTTATAAGATAAAACTACCCCTACTTTTATACCTTTAATTACTTTTTACCCAAAAGTTTGGTTTGTGCATGTAGTTTGGAGCTTTACAAATGCAAATTGCCGTATATACTAAATTACTCCATTTTCGTGTGCCCAAATTTGTGCGTAGCTTGGTCTTTAGAAAATTTCATCTTTGTGAAGCTTGGATGATGGTCCCACCTTATCTTCAGCTCCTTTGTGAAGCTTGGTTATTACTTTTTCTTATCTAATCAAAAGCAAACCAGACACAAACATTCTAATGAGACCAAGCTAAAAAGACATACCAAATCAGATAAAATACGCTCAGATCAGACCCGATCATATTACGTCAAACCATAGCAGAAACATTGTTTTGTTTACAAACCAGATCAGATCTTAAAAGTTCAAATCTGATCAAATATTCTATGCCAGGAAAACGTGTTCTATTTTTGGGGCATACAACGCCTATTAGTTCATTTATATTAACCTTGTCCTTCCACTGTAACATTTGAAGGAGTGCGTGAGACGACGAGTGATAAAGGAGCTGAAGCCTCACTTCAGTGAAACAGCTGCCCAAGATGCTATGGAAGCTGTGTGGGAGACTTGCTATAATGATACTGAGCCCTTTGATAGAGCTCCATAAATTGTGTAGGCTGTACTTCATAGAATAAAATGCTTTTGACATGATGTCAAATGTCTAATAGCTGTAGCGGATATGCATGCTCCTAGACTAGGAAAATTCCTTCCCTTATTTCTGGATGGGAATATGGGATGCCTTATTCCTTTTCCATTAAACTTTATGCTCTTATCATTTGAAGTTAAGTTCTTAGAGTCGTTCTATTCTTTTTCATTTTTTCTCGTTTCTAAGGCTGCAAAATATCGCTGGTCCGGACCGAAATCGGGACCGGAACTGCCCGATTCGGTCCCCAAATAGGTGAACCGGGACCGGGTACACCTCTTGAGTAGTTGAGTGTACAGGTCCGGTCCCAGGCAGGGGTGGATTCGGGTCGGGCCGGGTCGGGTCTAGGCCCGGGCGGGCCGGCGGTTTAGAAAAGGTGGACCCGGGACCGGCCGGGTAGCCACCGGGTCCGGGCCGGGCCTCCGGTTTGGTAATTTTTTTTTGCTTTCCTAACCCCCCCTCACTCCCAACCCCTCCTAACCATCAAGCCCAACCCGGGTAAAACCCCCAAAAATGAAAAAAAAAATCAATTTGGCCCGGACCCGACCCGGCCGCGCCGGTTCGCGAAACGTAAGACCCGAGCCCGGACCCGCCCCCTCCCTCGGGCCTAGGCCCGACCTGGACTCGAGAACCGGGCCGGTCCCGGTCCCGCACAGTAGCGGGCCGGTCCACGGGCCGGGTGGCCTGAATCCAGAAATTCTGGATCTGGTCTGGTCCCAAATAGTGCTGGATGAGGTCCACCCCTACTACTTCTGCTGCTATGTTACTCGCTGCGAGAAGACATTTAATTGTGTGGTGGGCGCCCTCCTATCCCAGATCGATCAAAGCAAAGATGCAAAATTATGCATTGGAAATAGAGGTAATGGCGCAACGCCATTGATGGATAGTCTACCCGGGGGGTATCTTATCCGAGGGGTTATTGCGGGAATAACTAGAGAGAAGTCAGAGCAAAATAGGAGGAGAGAGAGTCAATTTATTAAATGAACTCAGCGTGTGGAGTTGAGATGTAGATGTCGATTACAAGGAGAAATGGGCTGCTATTTATAGCAGCAATAAATGCAATGAGAGTACACGTGTCAGTAATCTAACGGCCGAAGGGTCACATCAACCGGGTGGCACCGGCAGTGGTACGTTCACCGCATTGAATGCGGTTGGCGGATGCGACGTGGCATTAAATGCGGTGGTTGGCTGTCTCTAAAAGGAATCTTCGATGATTGAGAGTGTTTGGCCGAAGGCTCCTTGTGTGGCCGAGGGCCCCATGTAGCCAAGGACCCCTGTGTAGCCGAAGGCCCCGAGTGGCAGAGGGCTAAGTTCAGCCGAAGGCTTCCCTAGTGCCGAGGGCTTGATAATGCCGAAGGCTCATGTTTTTCGCCGTTTTCTCCCAGTAGCTTCGTACGCCAGAGAAGGCTATCTTGTGAGTTTTTTGGAGCCTTCGGCCAAGGAGGCCGAAGGCACCCCAGTGTGTACTCTGGGCTACTTTGAGGCCTGGGCCGTTGTATTTGGGCCTGAGTCGATTCCTGAGCCCAATGGACTTGTGTAGGAGAAGTAGGAGTCTATGGGCCGGGGGTTCCTAGGCCATATACTCCATCAGGAGTCCCTCACTCCTTTTGCCGAAAGGTACTTGAGGGAAAAGGAGTAGAAGTGTTGATTCTTCCGGAGGCTTCATCGTCTGTTTAGGTGCCTTTGTTTGAGAATTTGCCTTCTGCTGATAGCCGAAGGCTTCCCTCAGTCCCTCACATATCGAGGGTTTCCTGAGGGAAGGTATACATCACCTTCGTAGTTCCGTCGGAGGCTCCTCTCAGTCCCTCACATGTCGAGGGTTTTCTGAGGGAAGCATAGATGTATTTCCTGCATGTGTTGTGATGAGGGCGGCTTCGTTTCCGCAAGTGACTTGGGGAAAACTTGTGATACCCTGCCTCTGCCGAAGGGTATATTGAAGCATGTACCCGAGGGTTTCTGCTCTGATGCCCGAAGGCTATATGCGTCAATTGTAGATTTCTGCTTGAGGAAATTTTGCATTTTGTTCTGTTTTGATGCCCGAGGGGTGTATCCTAGTCCCCCACTCCTTTAGGCCAAAGGCGAGTTCGGGCTGAAGGAGTTATGATGCGTCGATGGGCTACCGAGGAGTGGTAACATTGATGAGCCGAAAGCTTGGTGAATTTCGTTGGCAGAAGGCTGTGGTGAGTGATAACCGGAGCCTATTATTCGAAGGCACCCCAGTTTTGCCGGAATATAGTCGTTGTAATATAGCCGTTGGAAGAGGGGTTGACGTGGCGTGTCCTCGTTGGTCGAAGGTGGGCGGGTGCCACCCATTGGCTGAGCCGGCGGCCCGTAATGATGGCCTTTTTAAATCGAGGCCCAGATTTCGAGGCTGGGAGCCTATAAGTACCCCAAGCCCGAATTCATATTCCTTGTGCGATTTTTGTGATAGCGAAGCTCTGCCCTTTTGTTTTCTAGAGAGAGAAAGCCCTGTTCGATCAAACCCCAAGTTTCGAGGTCAGTTCTTCACCGTTCTTCGATTCTTCTAGCATACTTTGCTCTATTGTTCTTAGATTAAGTGTTAGAGCCTTCCTAGGAAACCCCTAGTATCCTTTTTTTCCTTCCATACTTGCGTTCTCCCAATTCCAAAGGATGTCATCAGCAAGCGATTCCCAGAACCATTTGAGGGAGCCCTCAGCTGCAGTAGGGAGCTTTTCTGATTCGGAGTCATCGAGCGAGCAGTCCTCGACCAATAATGACCTTGTCGTGGCTGAGGAGGTACAGAGTAACCTTCGGGTTGAGCTGGAGGCTGAAGAATTTGAACAAGTTGCTGCTGATGAAGAAATGGCCCTCGCACTCCAAGTAGCTGAGGAAGAAGAAGAGAGGGAACGACGGGAGGTTACGGTCGCCGTCTTGCCCCTTCGTGGATCCGGGGAGGCGAGTACCTCCTGGCCTCTAGATCCAGAACCCCTCAGCGTTGCCGTGGGAAAGAAAAGGAAGAAGACGAAAGCTCCCCAGAAGAGCAAGCAAACCGCCGTTGACTGCGGGAAGCCCGTGGGAATACCGGAGGGGCATTCGTGGCTGAATACTGCTGCCCTCGCTCTGAAGTCGAGGGCTGATCGGGCCGAATGCTACGTTACCCAGCTGCATGTGGGCCCCTCGGCCACCGTGATCGAACCGGGGCCCAACGATCTCCTCTCCCAAGCTCCCGAAGGATGCTTCGTCGTCCATGTGCTATCAGTTGCCATGGGCCTTCGGTTCCCGCTGCATCCCTTCCTCCTCGAGTATTTGAGGTATGTGGGTTTAGCCCCCTGCCAGCTAACCCCAAACAGCCACTCCTACATCACCGGCTTCCTTCAGCTTTGCCGGTCCCGAGGTGTAACGGCGACCCTCGATCTCTTTTTCCAGAGCTTCAACCTTTGCCGAGGGGGCCATACCAATTCCGAGGGGTTTGCAAACCTGCAGCAGCTTGCCCCCTGGAGGCTTTTTGACGATGTACCTTCGTCCCACAAGGATGGAAGGACCGCTTCTGCTATGTCAAGACGGCAGAAAATCCGTTCCCGGGGGAGTTGCGCAATCACTTCAAGAGGCACCCGAAGGTGGGAAATGCCGCACTTCAGAAGGACGGGAAGAAGATTGCCGCTCTGCCACCGGGGGCCACAAAGCATGTGACCATTAAGGATTCCACTCTCCCCGAAGACTTGCTGGCCCTAAGCTTCCGTCGGTACCGTTTTTTGGGCGAGAAGGATGAACAATACCCAGTCCTTGAGAGAGCCTTCGGTGGCAATGGAGGTAGTTATCGGAGGGTCCGCTTTATTGTACTTAGGATATTTGCATGTTCTTATTTCTCTTCCCCTGTCGTTTGAATCCTTTGGTCTGACCTCGTTGTTTGTTTTGCAGGTGTGAGCATGGACGTCTCCAGCTTTGCTGCTCTGAAGAAGAAGCTGGCCAAGGAGCCAAAAAAGAAGAAGGAGACGGGGGTTCAGAAACCTGTCGATGATTTCTTCAAGAACGATGGGGCGTCTCAGGTCCCGGAGGGGGGGACCCTCCAAAGCAGTTGATACCGGTGCTGGTGCCGGGGGGCTCCAAGGGGGAGGAGCTCAAGAGAAAGAACTCCGGGAAGGGTGTCGCTCCCCCGGAGAATAAGAAGCAGAAGAAGGGGGCCTCCGGGAAGAAAAATGCTCCCATTGTGATAGTCGAGGAGCAGCCTTCCTCGAATCCTTCTGCGACTACCCCTCCTCGATCTCCTCCATCCCCCATAGACGAGGGAATCCGCCCGGCGGAGATCATCCAGTTCCCTGTCAAGTCGGGGACCTCAGTTATGCATGGCACCCTTCATCCTGTCGGCTTCATGAGGGGGGTCATGGCGCCGAAGGATAGGTCAGTGCTGGCCCGCCTTGGGGATGACATCCTCGATTATAAAGTCGCGAGCTACAACACTATGGTGAGTTGTCTTCCCTTTTTTCTCTCCTTCAATTCTTTCTTTTTGACGATAGCCCCCGGTGAACCATTCTGATGCCATATTTTTGTTTATGTGCGTTTATGTGCAGGCTGCCTTGGCTGCTTCTGAGCAGGCCCGAAGGGTTGAGCAGCTGAGGATTGCCAAGTGCCAGGCGGACGAGGCCCTGAAGAAAGCTGATGAGGAGAAGGCCACCCTTAGGCAGAGGGTTGCTGATGTGGAGGCGAGCCTTCGGCTGGAGAAGGAGGCCACGGAGCAGAGGCTCAAAGATGCTGAGGCCAGGGGGAAATCCGCAGCCGAGGAAATTGCCGCAGTTGCCGCCAAGACCGCCGCCGAGGCCGCCGACATCGCCAAGGCCGAAGCGGTAGCTGAAGCTGAGAAGAAGGCCGTCGAGTCTTTTCTTGCCGAGGGCTGGATGGCAGCTGATCATGAGGGTTGGGTGGCCTCGGTGATGGAGAAGAGGGTGGATGCTTGGACCCAAGGCCCCGGGGCTATGTGGCTGGCCCGGAAAGGCAAGGATTACTACGATGGCGGGGAGTTCTTCACTCAACGCTTAGTGTACCGGAGGCTGGCCCGGCATTTGAAGATAGAGCCAAAGGATTTCAACCCCGCGGCGTATGGTCTCCCCCTCCTTCAGCCAGACGTTAGAGTGCCACTTCCCCCGGGCGAAGAGAGACCGGATCTCGAAGATTCGGAGCTGCTGGCGGAAGCCGAGGATGCCGAGGAGGAGGTTGGGGATGGCGCTACCTCCGAGCAGAAAGTTGATGCGGCCCAAGGAACTCAGACTTAGAAATTTCTTGATGTATCAATTTGTAATAGCTTGTAGCTTCCGGCTTCTGCCATGTAACGTAAACCAAACATCTTGTTGTTACTTTGCATTTTCTGCTAATGAATGAATGATCGCCTTCAGGCCTTTTCTGAGTGGATGCCTCCTGTCTTTGAATTTTTTATTTTTTTTTTTTTTATTTTTATGGATGCATGCCTTTCTTTACTTGGGCGAATGTATGTTTTCCTCTCTTTTGTCTGGTTTCCCGAAGGTCACGAGTTTGTGGACTTAGAAAAATTTTCTAAGCGTCGCTCCTTGCTAGCCCTCGGCTGTAGTGTAGTATCACGAGCCCTCAGTTGTATATTTGGGGTTGCCGGGGGCTTGTCGTTGTGGACCTAGAAACTTTTCTAAGCAAAACTTTTGTCAAAACCCTTCGGATGTAGCGCGTAACCTCAGAAAATAATCTAAGCAAAACTCCATTGGCAGCCTTCGGTAAAGAATCCTTGTAGTTGCTTCCGGGGTGAAGTTTTAGGACCGAGGGCTAAAATGAATTAAACTCAGGAAATCCTCCAAGTGAAATTATATCTCATGCCTCCGGAAATGCTGAGCCTTCGTTTAGTAGTGTAGCTTTAGGTCCTTGCCAAGTGGCTTAGGGGGGGCATCGGCCGTAAGCCTGTTGGTTTGTAGACGGCATCCTGGTTTCCCCCCGAAGGGTCCTCGATTGTGGACTTAGCCAAATTTCCACAAAGCTTCAATAGGTGCTGCAGTGAACCTTCGAGCGTGAGGATTGTCTGAGCCTCCGGGGGATCCGAAATCTTGGACTTAGCAAATTCTGAGATTTGTCTCCCCTAGATCTTGCGTGTAGCCCTCGGTTGATAGCATAAAATTAGGGGTTTGGTAGACTAGTTGCGTGTAGCCCCTCGGGTGTAGTGTAAGATCACCGGGGGTCGTCGTTGTCTTAGACTTAGTCAAATTTCCCCCAAATTTTCAATAGGCATTGTTGTGAGCCCTCAGATGAAGGAGTTTGATGAATCTCCTGCTGTTGTGGGTCTCATGAACTTGTCCTACCGTTCCGAGGGCATGCCTTCGGATGTGATATAGGCTAGCTTCCTTGTGTAGCAAGCTGTTCCAAATGGGGGGGGCTTCAGCACATAATTAGCTGCTTAGTCTCAGCCAAAGTTTGGTGAAGTTCTGTTGGTAGGGCCCCTTCTTGGGCTTCCGGGGAAACTGTTGTACTTCGAGCCTTCGGCTATGTAGCCAGATGACTTGTTGTTGAGAGATTTTCTTGTGCCTTTGTAGGAGCCTTCGGGAATATATCCAAAGTGTTGAGCCTCCGGGGAGAATAGTATCCGGGGAGTTCCTTCCCCCCTACACATCTTTTTTTCCTTTTTTTTTTTTGAATGATGTAGGAGAGGCATCTAGAAACTTGGTCTCTAGGAAAGGCTTGGCCTATATGGGAGGCAACGGAGTAAACCGTTGGCTCCCCCTTCGGGAATGACCTTCCGATATCCCGAAGGGTTTGAGGGTCGTTTCCTCGGCCCGAGACATCGTCTGTTGCCTGCTTCCCCTTGGGAGATAGCACGGAAAGCGCCTCGGTTTTGAAAGTCGTCCCCTCAGCCCGAGACATGGTCTGTTGCCTGCTTCCCCTTGGGGGATAGCGCGGGGAGCGTTTCGTTTGTGGAAGTCGAATCCTGGGCCCGGGACATGGTCCGTTGCCTGCCTCCCCTTGGGGGATAGCGCGGAAAGCGTTCTTGGGAAGGGTTTTATTTGTGTGTGGAACACAAACAGCCGGGAGCACTTGGTATCAGCCGGAGCCGAGGGGTGTTGCACCCCCCGTTTTTTTTTTTTTTTTAGGGAGTATGTAAAGGTATGCATAATGTATGCATGATTTCGTCCTTGTGGGGTACGGCTTAGTGAGAAAACACTTGGTGTTTTCAAAGAGTGATGGGGGTGACCCATACACTTGGTACTTGGTACCTAAATTGTTGTTCCCCCTCCTGAGAGGAAGAGGCCTCGGGCCTATTTTGGTGAAGAGATGAGGGCTTGGCCACTCATTTGTAGGAGAGAAGGGGGCCTTGGGCCGTTCGTACAACATGTAGGTGATGAAGGCTTGGCCTTTTGATTATTCTTCAAAAACAGATGGGGCCTTGGGCCATTGATATTTACACTTGCTGAGTATGAGGGCTTGGCCGCTCATGCCTTATTGATAGAATTTGACAAGGTGGTGCACATTCCAATGTCTAGGGACCTCCGTCCCATTGGGGCGTTTAAGCTTGTATGTCCCTGGTTTGATGATGGCTGAGATGATGTAGGGGCCTTCAAACTTGGGCGCCATCTTTCCTCCTTCGGTGGGTAGGCTGGCCTCCCTTCGTCGGAGGACGTAGTCACCCACCTGAAATTCCCGGGAGCGGACCCTGGCGTCGATGTAGCCCTTGACTTGTCTCCTATAGTTTTCGGCCCTGAGGAACGCTTGCTCTCGGCGTTCTGAGATAAGATGAAGGTCGAGGGCCATGTTGGCGTCGTTAACCTTGAGCTCGTATTGTTCCACCCTTCGGGTCGGAAGGGTCACTTCTGTTGGGGCTTTAGCCTCAAAGCCATAGCATAGAGAGAAGGGTGTTTCGCCTGTCGCACGCCGAGGGGTGGTACGGTAGGCCCACAGAATGTTGTGGAGTTCTTCTACCCAGCCTCCCCCTTCGGCTTCCAGCTTCTTCTTCAACCCTTCGAGGAGAGTGCGATTGGCATTCTCTACTTGTCCGTTGCCCTGAGGGTAGGCCACGGATGAGAATGTGTGCTTGATGCCCCAAGCCTCAAGGAGGGCGCAGAAGGGGGCTGCCTCGAACTGTGTCCCGTTGTCGGAGATAATTTGCTGGGGAACGCCAAACCTTGTGAGAATATTTTTGAGAACGAAGTGGCGGCACCGGGCCTCAGTGATGCTGGCGAGGGGCTCGGCCTCTACCCACTTGGTGAAGTAGTCAATGGCCACAATGATATACCTGTTGTTGGAGGTACCCCTCGGCAGAGGGCCTACTAAGTCAATACCCCATCTGGAGAAGGGTATAGCGGTGCTGATGGGAGCATAGTTGACCGCTGGTCTGCCGGGGGCCTTCTGAAAGTGTTGGCAAGCGGTGCACCTTCGGGCCAGATCAACACAATCTCTAGCCATCGTGGGCCAGAAGTAGCCCTGAACTATAAGCCTTCGGGACATGGAGAAGGGTCCCTGGTGAGCTGAGCAAGTGCCGCTGTGCACTTCCTCTAGGGCGACTTCGGCCTCATCTTGATGAAGGCACCGAAGGAGGGTGCCGTTGTAAGATCTCTTTTAAAGCCTCCCGTTTTCGAGGGTGTAGCTGGGAGCCCTCAGTTTCGCTAACTTGGCGCGGGCTTCGTCTTGGGGCAGTTGCCTTGTGGTGATGAAGGTGGTGATGTCAGAGATCCAATCCTCCGGCCTTAGGTGGATGTTCATGACGGGGCTCGCGTGGATGCTTGAGAGGCTGAGTTCCTCAATTCTTGCAATTTTGGAGAGGTGCTCGGGGGATTCATCCGAAAGCTTGGATAGAATGTCGGCCTCGGAGTTTTGAGCCCTCGGTATTTGGGTGAGAGAATGCGCATCAAATATTTTGAGCAACTCCTTAGCCGCATCTTTGTATTGTTTCATCCTTCCTTCCTTGGCCTCGTACTCCCCAGAGATCTGACCCACGACGAGCTTGGAGTCACACTTGACGTGGATCATTTTAGCCTTCAGATTTGCTGCCAGCTGAAGGCCGCAGAGGAGGGCTTCATACTCGGCCTCGTTGTTAGAGACTTTGAAGGAGAAGCGGATGGCATAATAGGCGCGGAAACCCTCGGGAGTAATGAGGACTACTCCCCCTCCACATGCTTTGGTGGCCGAGGAGCCATCGGTATAAAGTGTCCACCACTCATCAAGAGTAGCCGAAGGCTCTTCATCCACCGCTGATCTCGCGGTGCATTCCGTCACGAAGTCTGCCAGGGCTTGGCCCTTGACGGCAGGCCTCGGACGGATATCTATGTTGTATTGGCTGAGGAAGATGGCCCATTTCACCATCCGAGAGGAGCTAGTGGGACTCCTCATGAGGGCGCCGAGGGGTTGATGAGTGAGCACTTGGACCGGATGAGCCTGAAAGTAGTGGCCAAGCTTCTTGACGGTCCAAACGATGGCTAGCACCGTCTTCTCGACGGGAGAATACCTGAGTTCGGCCTCCCGGAGGGTTTTGCTGACGTAGAAGATGGCATGTTGGATGCCGTCTTCCTCTCGGATTAGTACTGAGCTGATAGCCGCGGGGCTAACACCGAGATATAAGTATAAAGTCTCCCCCACCTTTGGTTTGGAGAGCACTGGGGGAGAGGAGAGGTACTTCTTGAGTTCGTCGAAGGCCTCTTGACATTCAGATGTCCATTGAAATCCCGCCGTCTTCCTCATGATTTGGAAGAAGGGGAGGGCCCTCTCGGCTGACTTGGAGAGGAAACGGTTGAGGGCTGCCAGGCGACCCGTCAGCCGTTGAACTTCTTTGACGTTGCGTGGAGGCTCCATGTTGATGATGGCCTGAATTTTCTCGGGGTTGGCCTCAATACCCCTTCGGCTCACCATGTAGCCCAAGAATTTCCCTCCTTGCACGCCGAAGGTGCATTTCTTCGGATTCAGCCGGAGGTTGAATTTTTGCATGATGGCGAAGATTTCCCGGAGATCGTCGGCGTGAGTGCTGGCCTTCTTGCTTTTGACGATCATATCGTCAACATAGGCCTCCATGGTGCGCCCTAAGACAGCTTGGAAGACCCTGGCTACCATTCGGGTGTAGGTGGCGCCCGAGTTTTTGAGGCCGAAGGCCATCACAAGGTAGCAGAAGATGCCTTCGGGTGTCATGAAGGCGGTTTTTTCAGCGTCTTCCTCATGCATGTAGATTTGATGATATCCGCGGAATGCGTCGAGGAAAGACATGATTTCGCATCCCGCGGTCTCATCCACCAGCTGATCAA